GTTAATACGGCGTTTTGCCTTATCACGGTATAGTATACAAACCTAGGAATACCAATATGCAAGAGGCTTGATTCATTTCTGCCGAACGCGAGCCAAGCGACCGATCGAAACGTAATTTTCAATAAATCGCATTCCTCGCAGCATGAACGCAACACTGTGTGTGGAGTCTTTCGCCCCTCACTTTTGATGAAGAGCGGTCGCGATCGCGGTCGGGATGTTAGAACAAGAGCTGACTATGTTACGAGCCCCTCGTCGCTTTGAATGGTTGGAAAGTTTGAAAGCTCTCCGAATTTAATTGGACTGTCTGACGAATAATTTGCTAAAATGGAAGATTCCTCCACGCGGGCGGAGTTGGCAAGGGAACTTGGCGGGTGGAAGGTCGCCTGCGAATAATTGACGTTGCCGTCGTCACAGCAAATAATTGTATATCAGTACTCATAGGTTATTTGAGTGCGATACTGAAGAGAAATGAAAGAACTCGCTCGAAGGGCAGCGTGCTACCTTTTTTAATTCCTTACTTCATAAATAAATCTTTGATGATTGGAGGTATTTCTGTTGAAGGGAACCACGTGCATTATGGCGTGAGCCATGTTACGCATATATTCTTATGGGTCTCATGGCTCTTATCTTCATGCACATAGTTCTGTTCTGCAGAATTATGTGCACGATTCCACAGCGTGAGCTCTTTCCTGGGATTGGTCGGCTGTAAAATGATCAATGAATGTTTCTAATCCAGTAAGAGGCGGCTTTATATTCACAAGAAAACAACTTTTCTTGTTAGTTTAGGCTTACCTTGAGGAATATACCCCTCTTATCAAGCAAGTAATCAAGTTAGCCCCGCGAAACTTTAGTCTTTTCATGAGTTTTCTCAGCCGCAATGAAATTTCCCGTATTGTCATGACCAGAAAATTTCGGAAGATCCCGCAGTAAATATTAATTTTAACTTACTTTCATGGAATATGAAATAGCTGATTCCTAATTTGCTAAGCTCATCAAAAGTAGGGGTGCAAAAATTCACGAGCCCAGACCGTCAGACCGGAAAACATCAGGGAATTTGATATCATCAGGAAAATCAGTCTTAGATCGGGAAATACTGGGTGCTTTCAGCATTTTTCAAACATTTTCTTCGATTCATTCGGTATGATAAATTTTTGCATCAAAGGAGTGTCAATTTATCGCGCCAAAAATTAAGATTGGTTAGGTTAGGTCTTGTTTAAAATATCGGGAAAAATCAGGAAAATGTAAAATTCAATGTTAGTAGACATTCTGCAAACCGTAACATCCGTTACTTCAGCTTCATTCAACATTAAAGAACACAATTTGAAGCACTTATTTAAACTATTACCCTCTTTCCTAAACCACGCCATTTCAAAATATCGATGACAAAAGCAACTGTACCTACTCACGGCAAGATTTTTGAAAAACAAACATCTCCTTTTTCCCTGAGAATATTTTTCTCAGGGAGAGTATTGCTTTCTGAGAGAGTATTGCTTAGAAGAGCCAAAAAGCATCCCCACCCATCCGTTGAACCTGTAGGTCAAAGAACTCGGACTGAGTCGGTCCGCTGTTATCGTAAACATGTTATCCGGGCTTCGGGGAGCCAGCGTCGCCCGTCGCGCTCCCGGAACGAGGACATGGTGTCGCGCGGGTTGCCGGCGCCACCCGTCAGGCGTCGCGATCATCGAATTAGAGCGTAATGGATTCCCGTTTGTCGGCGCGGCGACGCGGCGGGGGTCTTAAAGGGATTGCGGATTATCTGGGAAGCGAGGAGTCAAAATTTTAAGATCTCGTTTATGGCCGAGACAAAATTCAGTCGAGATAATAAAAGCTGGTCACGGTTTTATGAAGCGCCCCTCCCGCCGGTCTTCACCCCCCTCCCCCTCCCCTCAGCGTTCCCCAGAGCTTTTCAGCGCCGCTATAGACTTCGAGCGCCAACTGAAGTGGTGTTTCGCTCCGTAATGTTGGGTGGAGCTTTTCTAATGTCTCCATTTGCCGGCGGGACGTGAAGTATCACTGCGAAGTGCGAATGCATTTTAACCACTCGGAAAACTATTCGAAACTAGTTTCTTCCGCCTCTCCGAGGGGCTCAACTTTTTTATGGCCTTTTAATTAGGTACTTACCTACTTACCTACAGTGGCAAAATAACAATGATTTGCACGTTTGATTAAATCTTTACGGATAGCTGTAGCAACTAGTTCATTTAAATCTCTGTATTCGTCCATATACTCACAAAGCCAGACGGATTTTTTTTTCTTTTTTTTTTTCTTTTTTTTTTTTCTATCTATGTACGAGTGATTTCAAATCAATCATATGCAGACATTACTCTCATTAAATATAGATAGAGCAAGCATGACTCATAAGTTATACGAAACAAAAGTCATTGATTATATTTCCCAATCGATACTATCATGAAACCAGTAGGGCTTAATGCCACATCATACGTACTGAAAAAAACTTAGATCGTGTGACCCGAATGTTCATTGTTCAATTTGGATCGATCTGTTCTATACCTTTAGATGAGTCTATAACTTTTTTCAGTCTAGTTAAATTTGAAAATTCGATCTTAAGAACCGTAAGTTTGTTTTGACAAGGATACATAGTTCGTCTGTAATTGAATACTAAACTGTCGATCCGGCGTGATCGATTTTTCTTTTCATCGTAGAGGAGCTCGCACTTACGAGGTTGTTTTTTTTTTTTTTTGGTCGATAGGTCAAATTACAATAATATGGTTGAAAACCGAATTTCATGACGCACTTCAACTTCAAGGAAAATCTTACGCAGATTGGACCGTCTGCAAAACAAATGAAATGGATGAGTGAATAACCATATACCATAACTACATTCAAGTATTATCTTTGCTATATGAGCGTTCAGAAACGTCATGTAGGTGCATTCGTTGATGCTTTCTTCATATCTTAATATAGCTTCCATATTTTAGATTGACATTTTCGTTTCATACGTTTATGATTTAATCCTGCCGTGATAGCGAAGAGGGCCTTAAATGCGAAAGTAAAGGTTTCGAGAGAATGGGCTCACTAGCATCTCAGCGAAATATTTCATCGAAAGAAGCCTCCGTTCTATTTCTAATTGCCACTCATCCTCTAGAAGACTCCTAGAAATCGTTCAGATGATTACAATTTTACCAATTTCATTTCAGATGTACCAAAAGGGTAATTGATTTTCATACTAGGCTAGTGTTGAGCAAGAAAGCTGTAAGTGATATCATCTGCATGCTTTCGTGGTTGCGTTTCGGACACACAACAAACACATTTATAGGTTAGATATTTTGAAAAAAGGGCGGCATTTTACTTGAAAGCACTGTTTTCATTGGATCTCTGGAGGAATAATGCTCCTTTCCGCTGTGTTACTCACGGTTTTTTCGTGTTTCGTTTTCATGGAAATAAGACGAATTTTGCTGTTTTAGCCATTTCAATGATTCATCTAAAAGAGATTAGACGAATTTCGAAGGAAACTCAATTTCAATTATAAAATGGATTGCATTTTGCAATAAGGAACCATTAGCATTGCAATGTTGCTAAGATTGTGCAACTTCTCTTGTCTTGGAGGAAAAACCCGATTATCCCTTAATAGTTTCTATTTTACTCGCTAAAAACTGTAAATTTAAGACAAAAATTACCATCTAAATTTCATAGATTTTCACAATTTCCGCAATTTTATTGCAAAGGATGATGTTGCACAATCTTAGCATCATTGCAATGCTAGTGGTTCCTTTTTGCAAAATGCAATCCAAATAGTTACACTTTCTTCGCTATAACGGCAGAATAGATGTGGTGTCAGCTTGTCGTATTATGGTACATTTCCACCTGTTTGGGAGATGAGGGAGTTGAAAGGTGCGTGTAGTCGTGAAAATCCAATTTCAAAGAGGCATTTTATCTTCGGGTAATGCCTACTCTCCCCCGCGAATGGGAGGTTTTTCACCTTTATCAATGTAAGCGTTGCAAGCGAGTAGTGTAGAGAGCTACCTTGTAAGCGTTTTATTTTCTCGGCCGACGGTTTAAGATCCCGCCTAGGAGCCCTTAACGATGCCCGCGCCCGTGGTTCCCGGCTTCCCGAGATGTTCCGACATGACTTTCGGGACCATTACCATTTTACTTGCGTTTTAGCTCGTAATCTGACTCACCCCTTGCCCCTCTGCTGGGCAACTTACTCCTCCGTTCCCGGGCGCTTTATCATGATAGCAGACTGCAAACCTTGGAGCGATTTGCGCAACAAGAAAAAACCGCTGGAAAGGTGTAAGATTATACAGGGTGTCTCGATCTGGAAGGCAAATGAATCGGTGAGAACGGAAACACACCAACCCAGTAACTCGAAAATGCTGAATTTTCTTTAAAGAGAGTCAGTTTTCATAAAGGTCATTGAAGTTAACTCATCTGTTCCAACTTGGACCTTTAAAGTGTCCTTAAGCATATGTCTTTCGGTACCAAAAATGTTTTTCTTGTGCTAACTTCTTCAACTACTGCGCAGTTTATCGTGTGTACCGATTATTTTCATTTTTTCGAGTTGGTGTGTTTTCGTTCTCACTGATTCAAATATTATTCTGGCGACGGACTTGTTTTCGGGGTCAAATATGAATTTTTACGACCTATAACGTCGGTTTCTGCTGGATAGGTAGAGGTGAACACAGGGTCGCAAATGTATTGATACACTCGATTCTTTCGAAAAGCAAATGCTTTTGTCAAAAATACGGGGAAAAAAGAGCGAGGGGTTGTTCGATGATTTGGACATTTCCAGTTAATTGTGGTAGTACTCCAGTGAATTAGGTTACTACCCCAACTTGAGTTGCGGCACCACTATAAATAATTGAAAATGTCAATTTCATTCAACAAATTGGGGTAGTCAATTATAAATAATTGAAAATGTCAATTTCATTCAACAAATTGGGGTAGTACCACAATTTTAGGAGATAACTCCTAACACTTTTTTCAGTGGAGTTAAGTTTAATTTAAAAGTTAACACTCTTCCCTTCTCTCTGTTTCAGGATACCGCAATTCATCGATGTTGTCCACGGCAGACGATAACGGCCACGATGAAAAACTACAGGTAAAGTCAAGCATGTTATTATTGAATTTTAGAAATAGACCTTTAGTTTACCAAGCAAATTCATGGAGTTAATTCTCCAGATGTCAGGCCGCCTTTTAAAAAGTAATGCAGTCGTCATGAACACATTAATTACTTGCACTCTTCGGCAATCGCACACTATCTTGTCGAGGAGAGCACAAAAAACTAAACGCGTTAATTTACGTCTCTAACCTCTCGAATTTAGTTTATCCTCCAGGTTAGTCACCATTTAGCCATGTTTATTATGGCGGTTGACTTTCCTGAAGAGAAGTGAAATCCTGTCTGGGGGCATAAATATAAAGGTGAGCGAGGATACACTGAGGTTATTTCCGCAAGGGTCTCGGCAATTTGCCAATAATTGACCTCGGTCTTCCGTAGGTTGCCAATTTTTTTATGAAAATCTTGAATTAATGTATTTTCCCCGGAAAAATGAGAGTGAACTTTGGAAAATGGCAAGTCTGCATCGTATTTTCTTTGATCGCCGATTAATGGTTTGTCTCGCAAAGCAATATCACCGCTTATTCGAACACATTCGTTACTTTAGTTGTCCTTTTATTTTGGTTTCGTCGAAACGTTATTGAGCCGATTAGTTATCAGAGAGATAAAAATTGTCAAACGTCCAAAACCTTCGATAGCTCGAAAATTAACTGCAGTAGTCATCGCAGTATGGAAACATGCAATTTAAGGACGGAAAGAAAGTATGTATGTGTGTGTGTGTATGTACTTTTGGTCGAATTAATACAGTCAAAATATAATATGAGTAGATCAAATGTCTCACGCTGAAATCGCGGGCATTACTGGCAGGATAACTCAGTGCACCTAACTGAGAAACAGGATTCGTCGTAAAAAATGTATATTGAAATTCAGTATTATTGAAGTCATCTAGATTTAAATAATACTTCTAGTTATCGGAACGTTATCTAGTTATAGATATTTTTAAAAAATTATAAAAAAACGCACCAAATTATTTAAACGCAGCTTAATATAAAAAAACGCGCAATGTTTATTTTATATCTGTATGTTCTTATAAAAAATGAAGACATTACATATATACATAGAATTGGATCATAGTTGTACAAATGAAAATAACCTAGCAGCATATGATTAACCATTATTTATACAAAGATAAGGAACCACTTATAACTATTTTAGGCACTTGTCTGTGTTTACATCACAAGAATTTTTTCTTTAACCGACAATAAAATCTTAATAGAACTATCACATTGATTTAAAGACATGATTTAAGTGAATCTCGTACAATATCAGAAGGAAGTTAATCAAAATTCATTGATTTAAAGACATGATTTAAGTGAATCTCGTACAATATCAGAAGGAAGTTAATCAAAATTCATTCACTGATTAAGAGTAAGAAATTGAATAACTGAAAATATTTGTTAACTAGATATTTGTTGAGAATTCAATGTAAATCAATAAACTATCTCAAAATAAGAATCTCATTTTATAATACTGAAAATGTCAATTTTACAAAGCGGTTTATGAATGCATGCTAGAACATCTTTTTCCAAAATGGAATTCATATTTTTTTAGTAAGTTAAATTGGACACAAATTCAAGTTTGAACAGTGATGCAAACAAAATTATCCTAAAATACATAAGTATATTATTCAGTCCTTTCTTACTTCTTTTACTTACTTTCTTTCTTTTTCACCGTGAAAGAGAAGGGTTTGTGCGAAGCTAATGCTATGCCAACTCAAAGTGTCTCGTTGTCTGCCGTCATTTAAAATTCCACCTGCCAAAGACTTGCGCAGCGAGTAGATTCTTGGCTAACTGTCAAGTACTTGTAGGAGCATTGCTCTCTTCGGTGGTGCAGCTATAATATCTGCTGCATGGAAATCTAGTTAAGAGGGCACATGTGTGACTGACTAAAACTGAAATCACCATGTTTGATTTGACTTATACATGAAAAAAGCACCAATACAAATTCAGTTCATTGTAGACAGACTCTTTTTACATGTAAGGGTGAAATTGTAGTTCAGCTCATCACCCCTAAAAGTAGTCGGTGCTTAAACTTAACTATCCACGATGTTTTCAAAATTGCACCGCTTTCATGTGACTGGGTTTTAATAATTATTTGTTTTTTACATGGAAGGGTGAAATTGTAGTTCAGCTCATCACCCCTAAAAGTAGTCGGTGCTTAAGCTTAACTATCCACGATGTTTTCAAAATTGCACCGCTTTCATGTGACTGGGTTTTAATAATTATTTGTTTAAACTACCAAAAATGTAGAGTTTAAGTAATTACTCTTGACTCTAATATTGTGGGTTCGTTAAAAACTTCAAACTCACCGGTTGTAATTTATCGTAATCCATTTGTCTCTCTAATGAGTTTAGGCCCATTTCCAATAAGGGCATAAAAAATGTACGCAAGCAGTTCAATACAGTACATCAGGTTTGTTATTTTAGCCTGAGCTGAGGGTGAAGATTGCTGGAAGGAGGCAACATTTTTGAGAGGATAAATTGAGCGTGTTTCTGCCAAACAGAACATGACATGAGCCCTGTTATGCACATATGCTTATGGGTCTCAGAGCTCATGTCCTAATGCACACAGTTCCGTTTGGCAGAAATACGTCCAATTGACCCTCATCAGCCCCATATTAGGTTAAATTCAAAATTCAAAGAAGCAGTTACTTATCGACAAAATTGGACCTAAATTGCTAGAAAAATTCTTCAATTTAAATATCAGGGGCAAAGGGCGATTGATGACGTTGCCCTTCCCAAAGTTCTCGGCTTCGCTGCGTCTCATTCTGAAGTTTGATGGCCATCTTTGCGGCAAGGACAGGAAATCAGCTTCCGACCCCTGCTCCTTCGTCCTGCTCTCTCTCCTCAGGGTTGAGTCGACTATCCGGCCCATCTCCCTCCCCCGCTTCAAGGACGGAAACGCGCTCCACCCCCTCGTCCTTATGGAACAAGAGCTGGATCTCAGCGAAGGTGCGGCCTTTTGTCTCGGGCATGACGGCCACCGTGAACTCGGCCACCAGGAGACACATAACGCACCCGAAGAAGAAATTAGCGCTCATGCCGAGCTTGGGCGAACTGGCGAACCACTGGAACTGCAAGATGTTGAGGAAGGCAGTGACGGAGGTGATGAGGATGGTGAGCCCGAAGGCGAGGCCGCGGGCGTTGGTCGGGAACAGCTCGCACTGGATCGTCGGGATGATGGGCCCCAGGCCGAAGGAGTAGCAGAAGGACAGACCCGAGACGAAGACGAAGACGCACCAGCCGTAGTCGTCGCCCTGGATGGCGTTCCGCTCCCGCAGGAGGAAGTAGACCCCCGCCAGGAGCTCCAACACCCCGCACGTGACGGCCGAAGTCACGAGCAGAGGTTTCCGCCCCAGCTTGTCGACGAGGAACGAGGAGGGGACCGTGGAAACGAGAGTTACGACACCCAGGAATATAGTGTACTGGTCGGGCGTCAACCAATGAGACCCGCCTTTGTCGAACACCATCGAAGAGTAGGATAGGATCGCGTACATGTTGGTCATGATCTGACACGACCCGAAGAATTGCGAGATGAGGAATAACTTGATGTTGGTGATCTTGCGGTTCTTGTCGGGATTCTTAGCGCCTTCCATCTCCTTCTCCACGGACTCTTTCATGACGCGCATCTCCTCGTTGATGTCGTCCGTGGAGTCGCGCAATTCCCGAAGCACCTTCCGCGCGAGCGTGTCTTTATTCTGCATCAAGAGGAAGTAAGGCGTTTCAGGCACGAATAATACGGAGATCGAGTAGACTAGTGGGATCGCCATGCAGAATAAAGTGAAGTTACTGTACGAGTAAAACGGACCGAGGACGTAAGCGTAAAGGAGTCCGATGTACATGAATCCTTGGAAGAGGTTAGAGAGGGCGCCCCGGACCTTGGGGTCGGAGATCTCGCCGAGGTAGATGGGGACGGCGGTGTAGACGACACCGCAGCCGAGGCCTTGGATGACGCGGGCCACGTAGAGGAAGTAGATGGTCTGCGAGAGGTAGATGATGAGCCAGCTGAGGGCGAAGAGAGGGCCGATGAGGACGAGCGTCTTCTGGCGCCCGATGACGTCGACGAGGATCCCGGTGATGACCGGAGTGAAGAGGTTCCCGAACTCCATGAAGGCGATCATCCAGGAGAGCTGGTCCTCGGTCGGTACCGGCAGGATTGGGGACGGCCTCTCGGTCGCGAACTTCTGGAGGATCGGTGAGCTCCAGCCCATGGCAATGCCCAGGCACATCACCGAGATGGACGCTGCAACAAATCCACAACGTTTATTTAATCACTAATATTCAGGGTGTCTCCAAGTCCGGAATTTCCGGATATAATACTGATTTTATAAGGACGGTCTGGAAGTCTTGAAAAAGTGCGGAATTTCGCGAGAAGGTCCGGAATTTTTGTCATTTTTGTCGCCATTCGAGCGAGAAATTCAAATTTTTGAAAATTTTCGAATTTCGTCAATTGGAGGTACTGATAAAGTACTGAATTGCTCCTATGAGGAGGTAATAATTTTCTTGGGAATGGACTGGAAAAGTACTGTAAAAGTACCAATTTTTGGCCAGCCTGTTTTACCCTGATATTGTTCTCCATGGTACAAGGACCCTGTCCAGAATATCAAGGAATTCAACGCCGGCTAAATTTCCTCATTATTTTTCATAATATTTTTACGACCTTCCAAGCACTATGAGCTTTTAGAATCCAACTTTCATTGTAGCAATTCAAAAAAAGCGGAGCTGTAAAGTGCATTTTTTAGAATCTCAGCACACGGTATCTTATATGAATGCTGTTGATCGAAGAGAGCGCCTTTCCTTGCCACGCAATGTTGCGTTAACTTCTTTTGAATAATAGGCTCTGCGTATCCGACAGAGTGGCCATATCACGTTTCTGTGACTGAAGATGTTTAAAAGAGCCGAAAACTTCAATTTTCAGCCCCGTTTTTACAATAATGGCACCTAGAAAGTTCGATTTTAAAAGCTAACTAGCTGCTCCGGGCGCCCTACGGGCGCCCTCCACAGCTAGCAATGGTGGTGCAGTAGCTTATTTGGAATCGGAGCGATTAGTTGAATCCATTTAATAATGATGATGATTCTGCGGTAGAAGATCAAGGAATTTAACTGCCTCTCTGCGTTACAGGGTGGAGACTGCCATTCTACCGAAAAATGTTATAAAAAGCTCGCATTATTAGTTTTTCTTTTTTTGTGTTATTTTTAAATTTTTTTTTATTTTTATTTTTTGATAATTTTCTAATGACTATGAGGCTTTTGGGATTTATAAAAGATCGAAGCACCTCTTTGTGCACNAGAAAATTATGGGAGAAAATTTGAGAAAATCTAAAAAACGATCACAGCCTGCAAATCTACAGCTCAGGAGCTTTCATTTAAAAAAAACCCCATGCAAATCGGTCCGGTGGTTCTCTCAAAGTTAATGCCCCAAGATTCGGAACTTTGCATTTTAATATATAGGATTGTGCTCCGAAGGTCGTTAAAGATTTCATCTCAAATAATGGCAAAATTAAGCTGGCGCCGAATATGCCTTGATTTTCTGTCCAGAGTCTATTGAAAGTGTTAAGGTTGCTAAAGTGGAAATTCAAAAGCTCGTAATCAGGTAGGGCTGGGATTGTGAGTAGGGTTCCAGACTTCGTAAGACAGACCCTACATGCTGCTCTCGCTTCTTGGGTTCATTCTACGAGAAGTTTTTTTAAAGTTCGGGTTTAGTTTCCTGACGAACATCTTTTATCACAGTCCATTGTTAAATGAAAGGAACAGTTGAATAATGCCAGCAGCAACTTTTACTGGGGTATGAATTTCCTCTCTTCAAAATCGTATAAATGTTCCATGAAAAATATCAAAATCCGATGTTGCACAAATGAGGATTGAGATACTCTAAAAAGAAAATGCGTTCAAGTGATTTCAGTGCAATAATGGATCGTACGCTTTTGGCCGGATCCTTAGTTAGACTTCATTTCGCAATAACGACCTACTATTCGTAGCTCAACCTCAGAAGTCTCTATCTACTTATGGAAACTCATGGCGTATGCGTGGTTTCTAAAATTAGTCAGAAAAAGCAGTTCCTCGTTGCAAAGTGCAGTTCAATTCAAGCCCAGGTGCACTCTGTAAATTAATATAGGAACAATATTAGCTCGAGTTTGTCAGGTTGAAACGCATAGGGCGCCTTCAAAACTGGAAGATAATCCTCAACGTTATAGAAAAGTTCGAATAGTTGCGTCATGTGTCATGGCACATTCGACCTGGATTCACTCACAGCGAACTCAATCAAACATTTTTCGGTGAGGTATTCCACAACGTTTGATTTCTACGAATGGGTTAATACCTGTGATGCCAGCCACCAATTGACGGTACGTGCCGACGCCCATGATGAGAGGATGACAGACGCCTAAGAAAAATCATCAGTGCCTGCAGGGACGTCGAATTCCACCTGAAAAAATAAGCAATATTCAGAGATGATACTAATTTGGTGAATGCACTTAGCTTTTGAAAAATGCACTAAGCTTTCAGTGCTCAGAGAAAAGATGCAGAGCTAGTCTTGAGAGCTTTGACGCTAATAACTCAAGACAGCTAGAGCATTTAACAAGTGCTGAAGCTGTATATACATGGTGTTGTCCCAAGATTAAGTACGGATAATAAAGGAGTCGATTCTTTGGATAAAAAAAAGACGTATTTGTGGTATAACTGTTTTTCCTAAAACGTTTTCTCGGGGGGGGGGGGCATTATCCCTCATTAGTCTCCATTATCTCAAAAGCGATGAGTCTCTGCGAAAAAACGCAAGATACACTATCTCAATATTTTTCAACGCTGAATATAGTGGTGCCGTCAAAAATGCATTTGTGTCGCTAGAAACATTAATTTTGGCCACTTTTAAGTTTAATACTCCCCCACCCCCCTTAAAATGAGTTCTCCCTTTTTGGAGGTCAATTATAAAATAAAGCGCTAAAAATAACTACCTCCAATTACCAGTTTACATCAATATTAATAAACATTGTCACAGTGTTAAAAAGACGATTTTTTTCCTCCAATATCGGGGGGCCTTTGCCTCCAGGGAAAGCATTTTTGGAATAAAAGTTTTACCACAAAAACGTCTTGTTTTACCAAAAGAATCAACTCTTTCAATATTCTTAGTTAATCCTGGGACACCCTATATTTGTGGGTGTGCGACATTTTTCGCGGGAATAAAAGCGAACACGCCTTTACGCCTAGCGATGTGCGTACAACTTGAGAAGCTTTCAATTAGGTAATCACGTCTTGTTTACAGTGCTGGGAAGTGATTCAATCAATGATGACTTATGTCGTGTCGTCGCCTACGTATGCCTGCGCAGTGCGCCCGTCTTAGAGGATGCCTCGAACCACTGGAGATAGGGCCAGCCGAACTGATAAACTTATCAACCCAAACAAAATTTAAGAGTGAGAGCAGAAAACGCAGTTAATTTTAATGCAAAGGTGGGCTGGTTATGTAAAAGTAGTCCTTGTGGTTAGAAATCAATGACAAAAAATATTTCGCGATTCATGATTTTACTAGCTCGAGAAGAAAGTCGTCGGATTAGTATGCCATAGCAATCCCAGAATTCGTTCATGCTAGAAAGGGATTGAAAGATGAAAGCGGCACGAAAGCAGAGCAGACGAAATTTTAACTCCTAAATCTGTAATGAAAAGCTGATTTTTAAATATCATTTTGTGACTTCTAATGAAGACTCAACTTTTGAATTCTCAAGAATATGGACCAATTAAAGTCTCGATGTTAAAAAATCATTTGGATATCAAGGAAGGGGTAAATGAAACTTCACAAGTCTCAATTTTGCATCTTTTTATCAAATTGATCTTGAATTTGTCAAAATTTGTTTTCAAGTGAAGTAAAGAAACTGCTCTCAACATTACCTGATTCCTTCGTCTAGTGATAAATATAGCTTGCTCTTCATAACATTCGTTTTACGAATTCGGGACTGACTTCATAGTCGCATGTAGTGATGAGTTAAGATAGTGTACCTAGTACCTTACATGACAGCATCTCAATAATTAGTTCCTCACATGAAGAGTTCTACAAATAACGGACTCTCTTGATTTCTAAATTGCCAATCTCTCTGCTCACTCATCACTGTGGCATCTGCCTCTCTCTGCCTTCCTCTTTCCGCATTTAACATTTCTTTCCCCCTTAAAAAATGATCCAATGGTTCCGAAGAACTGGCTGCTTCATTATCGTCTTTCCTGGATCATAACGGTCGACGTCGTAAAATAGAAATCATCTCAAATAGAAGTCGAGACAACCGTCTCCCCAATCGAGAAACTGTACGTATTTTTTCGTCACGACTTCTCGTGCAATTTCGTGACCTGATTTTTTCCAAGAAACTAATATTTATGCGTATTGGTTCGTTCTTTGAAAATAAGTCTCTTTATTTTAGGTATTTTTATTTATGGTGATATTTTAACTCGTCAGTGTTTTCAACCAAACAGAATAGCAGAAGATAAAAAGGGAAAAAACCCAAGAGTTTTGGAATCGCGGAAAGAAAATGTTTATTTTCCTTAGCGTGTTTTTAAATCGCATACGTTTCACTCACAAGTTACTTAATTCGTAAACAACCAGGCAGAGTTTCATCCGAAGCTACAGCTCAGCAAGTAATCGTCATACTTCCGACTTCCGTCTTTTCTTTTTGAAACTATAAAATTTCAAGTTCTTAACTCACAATGGGGAAAATCAACCTTTAGAGCTACAAAAGCATGGTTTCCACATGTTTTCTCATAGAAGTTATTACATCATATTATTCAACGAGATACTTATCTTTACTGAAAATGTACAATTTTTCTGGAATTATTTAAAGTAAGACTTGAGCTATTGAAAAGGCAACAGTTCGACAGCCAGGTGGCGGGAAGTATTGCAACTTACATTTCATATACGAGCCAAATTCCTCTTTTTAATCCTACCTGAACAACAACGAGCAACTTTTTCGAGACCGAGATAATGAAAATGACGAGTGCTCAGTCACACTAAATTCCTCGTGCATCCTGAGAAACAAATTTGTGAATGCAAGTGATTCCTGAGATGCTTCACATTCTGAGAAAGACGTTAAAACATGTCTAAAAATGAGTGAATTACCATACTAAAGCATTGTCTCTTTGAAATTCCGTCGAAAAGTGAGGGCGGTACCCGCCATTTTTCATCGTGTAACGTATTATATTTACTTATTTTTTCATCGCTTTCGAGTACTGTTTAAAAATTTGACTGTCGTAATAATTAAAAGAGGACAAAGGGGCTAATCATCATGCGCAGAATATTTTGAAGAAACTTTTAAACAGTCACTTTCATTTATTTTTCTTTTATAGAAATGAGAAAGAAGTGGAGTATTTGAAACGCGTCTCAAGTGATATAGTTTTTTCCTCTTTTTTTTTCATTTTTATCATCAAAACTCGTTATCGCATAAGCTTATTAATGTCTCATTAATTAGTAATTACGGTAGGATCTTCGATCCACCAGCTAGCCTTAAGTTTTTCAAGCAAAATTTCTTAATACTATATAGTAAGTGAATTGTAAGTAAAAGATAAAAAAAAATCATCAATATATTATCACGTTAGAAATTATTTAAATAAAATAAATTCAATGAAAAGTTTTAATCCGAAGTAACAACGTTCCTTTACATCATTTATCATTTTAAATACTCTTATCATAAATGACGTATTTTTATTTCAAATAAATTCATGCTGCATGCAGCAACTGCACCATCTTAGCAGCACCCGATACCTAATTGCGCTTGGAATGTTTTAAATTTCTTATTCAAATAACTAAGGTATGTCAAGAATGCCACTGGAGTCCATGTCGAGTGAGGTCACGCTAAGTGAAGAGTGCGACAAAAGATTCGACTATCGTTAGATTAACATTGAGAGGCAATATGAGAATGAGAATCAACATGCCAGATCCTCTGTTTCACTCCAAAAATGCGTGAACTTATTATTTGGCGTGGACCGTGCGCGCACACGCATCGTAACAAACCACGATAAAATAGTTTCCTTTGCTCGCGATTCATCCTGGATCACTGGATGCACATGCACAAGAGCAAGAACGTTGAAATATTGCGATAAGTTTTGAGAGGCGGATAAAAATGTCAAGTACCTTGGATTATATGGGTGCAATCGAACTGTGTCGGGAATCCATCGTGAAATATTGTAGGTTAGGAGTGAGTGTCACAATCAAAACAAACTGTAACTGCGTCGCGCGGGGAGACGAGAGCGTCGTTCCGGCAAGGTTCCCTGCATCGACTGAGGCGCTTCGGACCTGCGCTTTGGAGTCTCGCACAACGTCATCGTGATAATCGAACTTCCAGACGGCGCCAAGTCGCGAGGAAACTGCGCCTTGTTGTAGGGCTTTCGCCAAATTCGATCAGCGTTCGAGGAGTCCACGGAAATTTAAATTTGTATCTCCGGCGTTGTACGCAGCGTTGTTACTGGAATAATCAAAGTTTGAAATGTAGTGAAATATTTCATGCGATTTCATCAGGCTTTTGTTGACTGGCATCGCTTGAAATTGCTTCTTGTTGGCTGAGTGTTGACGATGAAACTATCAGACTACACATCTCGGATCGTGACGTTGTAGACTTCCTGTCATACTTTATTATTTAAGTGGAAAACTACTCAACATCAATTCTTGAACTTCCATGGTTTTTCCTCTCTATGCGACAAAACCTGTGTGAACATTTTAAGAAATGATATTGATTTGTTCTCCTTCGGAAAAATAAAATAGGAGCGGAGAGTTTTAAACCCCGCAAACGAGACAAAAGGTCTGGTACTTTCACCATCGATATACAACTTACATGCATTTTTATCATGAAGGGTGCAAGAATTAAGAGGGAACGCCATGCTCCGCCGCAATGGTCGCAAATTGCACCGATGACGAGGTTTGAGACGAGATGAAAATAAAACAAGGGTTCGATTTCAAGCATTTTCAATTTCTTACGTTTTCCTCTCGTCGAGAGAGTTTCCAGAATTTCATGGCACTAACAGTGGCGTGGCGTGAATGATCGATTATCGATATTTCCCCATTTGAAGCTATGGTGAAGAATCGATTATAAAAGTGTTCGTTGCGAACGCCCTTTTTACCGATCTTCTTCCATAGGTTCAAATGGCAGATCAATCGATATATCGCAAAGCATGCCACGCCTCTGGGCATTAATAGGGGTCAAGTATGCAACCCGCAACAGATCTGTAAAAATTATCGAAGGAGCTTCGCAGTAAAGAGCTCTGAAGTAATTTTTCCTCCAAAACTTGAGATTATACTATTTTCAAGCGTATTGTGGCCTCTTTGGCCTATTTTTAGAAGTTCCATGACACCTCGTTTCTCAGAGGGCGCGAAATAACGTTAAGCCAAATTCCAACGCTTTTGAGCTGCAACCCTGCAACGGCAAACACGGTGCCACGTTAAATATTTATCCGTCAACTCTGAAGCCCCGCCCACGCGATTTTCACGAGACTTGACAACTGTGACGACTTGGACTTGCATTCGACCCACCAAGATGTTTGACCTGAATTTTCGCCCGGCAAAATTCAAAGCGCCACGTGCTCGGCGCGTTGCACCTGGCTCGGGCCACTCCTTTCGTCGTCTCGCTGACCAAACGGCATAACTTCATTTTGAAATAGGCCTTGGAAGCGTGGAGTTGTATAGGAATTACGGCTCATATTAAAATAAAGTTACGCTCTCAATCCGACGCGGCGACATTTCTTGAGGCCCGGTGACAACCTCGTCATAATATTGATTTTACCGCACTTTGCTAACCATAAGCGTGATGCGCTTGTTGCTTTGCTGAGAATTGAAGGGGTGCATTTAGAGCTTAGGTTAACTCGTTCTCGGTAGCAGGAGCAAGATATACAGTCACATCCGAAATAAAATGAATATTCAATCCGAATATGATGATTTTTTGTGCGTAATAAAGCCTTAGCTCTACGAGACGTTTTTAAATAAAATTATCTTTTTTATTTATCGTCCATTTAACTATCGTTCGTTAATGTAATTAACATAATTAAGAAGAAAAATACAAAGAAAAAATTGTATGATTCTAACCTCTTTTTAGAAGTGAGAGGTATTAGGGACGTTTTTTAGAGCAGGTTTAAAACACGAATCAAGATACGATTAAACCTTTACCCCTTCTGTCGTATGCTACATGAGTTGCACTCGCACACCCCTCTTGAATAGAATTAAATACAGACGCAACATGTTAGGAAAAATCCGGCGGTACATGGTGGCCTTTGAGATGACCCCTTAAATCATATCAGAAACATTGTAAAGGATACATTTTTTATTACAAATTCTTCACTCTAAACAAGCACCAAACTCTGATCCATCCGGTGTGATTAGTCATTGATTTGTTTTTACGACGCTATAAACTTATTGCTTGATGATTTTATTTGTCTCGGTTCCTCTATTTCCTTATCAGTGAATCGTTCCCCCTTTTCATCCGTTTTTATATTTATTTTCTTTCGTCTCCTCATCTCAGGTAAAGGTAATGTCCGGATACCAGCAGACAGCGTAAGAAAAAACCTGATTAAACCGGAAAAACGATAATAAAGGCTGGTCGTTAATGAAGTGAAAGATAAATCATTTTTTTTTTAAACAACCGTTGGATAAATATTTGCGATGTTTTTCCTTTTCTTTTTAATATCGATTTTACTTGTCGGTCATTATTCAAACTAATTAAACGTTTATTAACGGCAATTTTATTGTAAGTTTTGAGATGGGAAAATCAATCCAAAAATTTCCGTGTTAATTTTTTTCACGTTATTAGCTAACTTCTCGTTCTCCAACGTGCTTGTGCACATGTGCTTTTTCTTTAAAATACTAAGCACAGAGTGTAAAAAGTAGTTAAGGGATGATGGTTAAATATTTATTGTTTTTAAGAAATTCTTCCCAGAACATTACAAAATAACCAAGTGATCGAGAAAAGAATGAGAGACAAAAAGAGGAGCAATGAGCAAACTAAAAAAACGAAAACATTTTTCGACCTCATTTTCGTCAATTCATACTTGCGATTATAAGTAATGAACTTCTGGTAATTCTTGGCTAATTTATCCTCAGAACATTATTGAACTCTTTATTCTAGAATTTTTCATGAAATATTTTTTATTTGTTAATATTGTCGTCGTTTTTCGTAATTTCCATTGCGTCTTGGTCTGAAGAGATGGATCAACTAAATTTTAACTGTACATAAGGCACACATCCATTCAGTGTATTTCAGCGAGTGACGCCCTTGTGATGTTTTATTATTTTGTTTCTATTCTACATGTCTTGAGGAGAAGGTTTAACAATACCTCTTGGAACAGCAGGAAACAGGAGTTAAACTGATAAATTGGATCTGCATAAAAATGGAAGAGTATATCTATGCTTAAAGCATTTAAGTCAGAAAAAAACTTAGAATTCCAATTGTAATTACCTAAAAAATTAAGATTCTCCGATTGCATTATTTCAACATTATAGGCAGTGGCGTGGCGTGAATAATCGATTATCGATATCTCGCCATTTGAAGCTATGGTAAAGAATCGATTAATAAGGTGTTCGCTGCGAACACCCTGATAATCGATCTTTTTTCATAGGTTTAAATGGCATTACAATCGATATATCGCAATTCACACCACGCCACTGATTATAGGATTTAAAATATTTATTTGATTTGTATTAAATATATGTTTATTAAATGTTAAGTGTGATTTAATGGAAAAATGGCACATCGGCTGTGCTTTTTGAGTCGTTGACGGATTGAGAGGAATTGGTTGAGTCAACTATGAGTTTCTTTATCGTAGCCTTTTTTTTAAAAAGATAATTCAAATCCGTGGTCTCGACGTTTGAGAAACAAATACTATATATTATTACAATCGTGCAAACATAAATTGCCTAGAAAATGCCATCAAATGCAACATAGGTACGTCTCTGTAGTCCGACCAAACGTGCTTTTCGAGAGAGTCAATTCGTCTTTTCCCAGTCAAAGGAACGTTACTCCATTCCAAAGTTACAAAATTGACTCAAACTCTTCAATATTTTGCAGGAAAATGATTGTGCAATTTCTGAATAAAATTTTGATAAATTTTGCGTGTGAATAGAAAAAAATTCAGTTTAGTGAAATTTTCAGTTAAAAATTCCGAGCAGTTTCGTGGTACAAATGCAATCGTTTGCAGGAAATCCGCAACGATGAAAAAGAGTTACGCTCCTTCATCTGAGAAGTGATGAATTATCAGTCGAGAAACTGCAAAATTTGCAAAGTGACTCGTTCCCGCGTGGAAGACAAGGAGCTCAGTTTGGATAGATGCAGCGGTCAAACGCGTGATGAGTCTGACGAAAGCGAGTAATGTCTCAGTTTCAGCTCAGTGCTCAACTGTAGAGCTAGTATGACGGATAAGTAGTGAGGTGAGGTGCTCATTCAGGATTACGGTGTCATGCTTATACCCAGATGTCATCTCCGGCAGTACTATGCTGCTGCTATCGGTACGTTAAATCTGTAGTTTCGTCAAAACGTGGAAACTAATTTACGGATAACTTCAATGATAGTGTTTGGAAACAGACCGCTAGACGTGGTAAGAATACAAGTACTACAAGACACGTTTCCTCACGAAATTGTCACAGAGAACGCGTTAAGCGTATCTAAAATTTCTGAAATCAGCTCATACAAGCAAAATTAGGACTTGCAGTTCAAATAAAGTCATCCAAAATTTCCGCCCGTGAGTGAAATCAAAATCAACGAAGGTCGAATGGGATATAGATATCCGTCTTCTTTGTCGACAAATAGTTTTTTTTGCGAAAAAAAATCACCTGTATTGCACACGGAATTCAAAAAATTATTAGAATTTAACCCAAGGAGCAATTTTTGAATTATGAACTTTGCCCTTGGACCCCTGGACCTTGGGTTTTTTTGAAAGTGGGAGGTTGTGTTAATGAACTCAAAAAATCAATTTTTCTCGTATGAGTTGGATTTGAAATTTACTAATACGTTCATCCTGTTGCGCACAAAATTTTGATGAGGAAACATATCTTGCGGTGCTTATTATCTTACTATTGTCATTCTTTCATTGGTTTTCTGTGTAGCGAGAGTGAAATAAGATTCGTGGGAAGGAAGAAGCCTATTCGGCAGTTAAGTAGCGAAATTCCTCTCAAGAGTAGGCGCAAAATAACATACTCATGATGTTTTTGCATCGTCGTCATTATTCCGATGCACAAAAAATACATAAAAACAACATCCGACCGTTCAGAATGTTCGAAAACGCACACATAAACAAATAACGTGCATATGCTTTTTATCGAAAGTAATTACTCTGTCTAGAAAGGAAATAACTGTTATATTTATACCTTCCATAATAATCGAAGACAAATGCTGCCGTACTAAGGAAGGACAGCCTATGAACATTGAAAAGTTACCATAGTTTTCCGGGTGAATCGTGTATCCTTAAAGATAGTTACGAATATTTTCTCTCAAAATGTTCAGAAGTTTTCGATTAAACTGCGAACAAAATGTCCTGCAAAATTGGAAGAATAATAATAATAATCATAATACATAAACATGTTTATTATGATAAATAAAATTAATATTACTTAATATTGATTAATATGAATAATAAAACAAAAAGTTACCGTCTTTAAGGCGTGGAAAAAGTTAAATAATAATCACCAATTTTCCAATAAATTCGAATTTTATTGAAGAGACTTTGGCAACGCCTGAAGTTTCATACGACGATTTTCCTTAGCACCTCTGCACTGCGTTCTTGTCTATTCTGCCTCCTCTAAAATTTTAGTCAGAAAGCTCCTCTTGTTTTGATGCAACTAGTTAAATTAGAGAAGTGACACCGCGACTAAAAGCTTCTATAAAAGTTTAAAAAATAAATAAATAAACGATCCGTCGGCCAGAGTGCAAGCAAGCCGACGTCCCCGAAGTAAGAATCAGCGACGAAAGTATAGTCGCGCTTAGCAATTACTTAAAGATACGAGTTACGGCCCACTTAATGGGGTTTGTAATTAGCAGTCGTGTCGGGGCTGCCCCCCCCCCCCCCCCCCCCGCGGGAGGGGGAGGATGCAAAAATTAAAAAGCTGAGCCGGGGCTTAAAAGATTAAAATTATCTCGGCTGCTCCGCGTTTTGGATGGGACGTGCTCGGAGACTCATTAGGGGCTGCGGCCGGGCTCGGCGGATTGGCGCGGTGGAAAGCTACACCCCCTACCCTTTTCCTCCCACTCTCCCCCGGGGAGGATTAGTTTTCACGCGTGCCAAGGTTATCGGTGAAAAGCGCTCGCTCTCAAATCTCCCGTCAAGATTGATACATGGCATGCAAAGCTGGGCGCGGGCCCCCAGGGTCGCCGGGATTAATAAGGAAATACCGTGGCATGCGTTTCGCAATCGGACCCTCAGATCAATGGACCACTAGACAAGGTACGAATTTAAGGTGATTCGATGGACGCCATATTTTGTGTCGGAACGGCATGCGATATATCGCATCCATTGGCTCCATTTTTTTCAGCTACTCGTCATTTTTCTCCAATTTTGAGATCGCAATTCTGTTGTCAGGAGACTAAAGCACTCACTTACCAATTTTAACAAAGACATTCAACGTAATAAAGGCGTGGTTTTTTTAGAGAAAAAAAATTGCATTCGAGTGCAGCTTTGATATCAGTATCGAATGCTATGTTTTCTCTCTAAAGAAAACCACGCCTTTATTACGTTGAATTTCTTTGTAAAAATTGGTAAGTGAGTGCTTTAGTCTCCAGACAACAAAATTGCGATCTCAAAATTGGAAGAAAATGACCAGTTGGAGTAGCTGAAAAATGGCAATTGATGCGGTATATCGCATGCCGTTCCGACACAACATATGTATGGCGTCCATCGAATCACCTTAATTTTCGTTTCAATATTCGTGTTTTACGTGAAATTCTGATGAGGAAACATTTGCCATATTGCTTAAATGCGTTCTTCTGTCTAGTAGCGGTCCATTGAAGAGTGGAAAATTCAAAATATCCTAATCACCATCGGGTATTGCTGAAATGGACCTTTAGACAGGTATGATGAAAATTGTACTTGTAGCGAGATTGAGCAAATATCGAGGTATCCAAAAACTTTGTAAAAACACTAGTTGTGCTTTTTACTCTCGACTTTAAAAAAAGGGGAATAGAAGAAGAAAAGAGTCAAAATAGTGTAAAAGTGTATTTCAGCTGTCTATTTGGTAAACATTTTCTTCTGGAGGAACAGATGCTTAGTCTCAGCAACCCAGGATGTTGGTTATGTTTTGAACCATTACTAAAATTACGATGATCTTTTACAATGATTGCGGGAGTAGAAATTCTTGATCATAAGCAAAGATTCTACAGAGCGCAGGCTGAGTGGCAAGGATGAATCATCGTTAGTCGTTACTGCCCTCTCTCCAAAATTTCACGTCAAAACAATTACATCACAAAATGTTTGAGTATTAGTTCCCCCAGAAGCTCCCAGTGCTTACAATTTATCATGAAACGCATTTCTAAAGTGACCATATTTATATCTTTCATATCAGTTCTCTTTTAGAGTTGTGTCCCAATCTTCACATCTTTGTCTTGTTATTTTTAATTTTTTGTATTTTAATCCCCCCCCCCCTGAAAAATTTTGCCAAGAAAATTCATAATCTAATCCTTCAATTCATAACTCCGCAACAGGGTCCTTTCTCATTCCCACCGGTCTTTGACCTTTACGTTTTCATGATGTATGATGATCGACTTACATGGAAGATTTCAACTATTGATGAAATACCGTGAAAGGCACGTGTTGATGTGTTCAAAATGTGCTTAGTTTTTTTTTGTCCTCCTCTGCTTCCCCTTCCTCTTCTTTTTCTTTCTGCTACAAGAGCTCGTGCGTTACAAGATTACTTAGTAGTATAAAAGCCATTTCAAGTAAATGCCAGGCTCGAGGTTTTCAATATCAAGGTCTAATTTTTTATCATCCGTCGATAAGATGAGTAAATTCTTGATTCTCGGAATGATATTTAGCGTAGTAAGCATTTTGTCGGTGCCCTAATTATATCATAGGTTAGACTAGTTCAGAGGTAGCCGAATATGTCAATATTCTGTACCTTTTCTCATTTTAATGCGATCAATTTTTTTTTATCACTAAAAGTTTGGTAAGTAAACATTGATAGGTTTCCCATCCATTGAGCCAAATTTTTTCAGCAACAAGTATTTTTATCAGTATCGGGCTTATTTTGGCAATTTTTCCGTGTCTCATAATTTTCACTCGTCGACGCCCGAACAATTTAATTTACAACGTACACGTAAGTCGTTAGACGTCAAATGCAGATCATTTAAAATTTACTGCATCGATGATGAAAGTACAAGAGCACATGTTTTTATTAAATATATTACAACTCCGTTTACGTTCTATTTATAAAAGAAAGAAAAATAAACGAAGTAAATTAATCGTTGGCTTTAGCTCTCTAGAAAAAAAAAACAAGAAGAAAAAATCCAACATGAGTATGTTGGAAAAGCGTGCCGAATAACTGAAATGTTGGACAAATACCTCTTATTTTCACGTCTTTGCTTTTTGCATCAATTGGTACTTTTTGCTAAATTTGGGAGAAAATATTGATTCATGAACGTTGAATGTAAATTAATTTTAAAGATTCCGTCCAATTATCTTGATTTTAAGCTGATATGCGGCATTTGCGCACGACCGTGATTTGGGCGAACTGCCGTGCATCGAAATCGCGTTCAGTTAATCTCTTTGGATTTCGAACTGTAACTTCTCTCCTATTCGGCCGATTTGTACAATTTGTTTGGTCTCTTTTTATTTGTACTTCAACGGAAAGTAAAGAAAAACTCGCTAAATAGACGGAAAACAATTTTTGAGAAAATTTGGTGGATCCTGGCATCACGGTGAATGGTTAATCGGTTAATCGCCTCGCCGTCTTTTATTGCCTAGATTGCTCGAAACCGGACACCCAAAGCTATATCGCGAGATAATTGTAGTGGTTTAAGTGGATTTCGGCAGGGGCCATGGTTAGTACATAGTATAATGAGTCACGAGGCTCATCACAGATTGCACTTACAGTGCAAGACGCTCATTGGCTATAGAGTTTTGGCGGGAAAGAAGGTTCTAGAGTTGAGTCCTCCGAGCGTAAGAAAGCTCCTATGAGGTTTCTGTAAAATTGAATAATACGGTTTTGACAGAAAAATGTTCTCAAGGGTTTCCAATTAGCAGTTCATTAGATTTTTTGGTAAAAGACCATCAGGGCTTGACAGTGTAATGGTTCAAAGACAAAGAAACGGGTGCGAGGAAAAAAGTATTTGGACGACCCGTTGAATAGCATTGGTTGATCTGTGTGCTGTACTATGGTACATCCGAGTGATTTCAAAAAGCGAGCCCTACTGGCACGCTTAAAAAAGAAAACAAGAAGAAACATCCAACATGAATATGTTGGAAAAGCGTGCCGAAGAACTGAAATCTAGTGTGTGCACTTTTTCCATTTCAACGAGATGTGTATAAATTAGTACTCTCTGCAAATTGGGGAGGAATTATTGATTTGATACCGTTGAATGTAAATACATTTTATTGAATAAAGAAAGTAACATAATTATATTGGATGAACAAAGAAAATAACATCATAAATCATTTAACTGAATTGGTTCATTCAGAATTTCAAATTAAAGTTTGGAAATTGTTCAGTTTGTTGCGTCATGTTGGAGATTGCTCAGTTTGCAGCAGCAGAGTATGGAGTTTACTCTGTTTAATGAGTCAAACTTTGTCTTTTCTCTTTTCTTCGATTGATTTGTATTAAAATGAGACTTTAAGGTATCTTTTCTGGAAAAAAAAAGGAGATTGCTCACTTCGCTGCAGTTGTAACTATGGAGATGCAGCCAACTTGGGTTTAACCGCTTTTGAAAAGACGCTGATTCGCTAAATAGTTATGGCGGCATTTAAACTTCTAATTTAAATCCTCCGAGCGTAGAAAAGCTTATTTGACGTACCTATGAAAGAAAATAATACGGTTTCCACGGGAAAATGTTCTCAAGGGTTTCCAGTAACAGGATAATTCGGTTTCTCGATGAATGACCTTCAGGGCTTGACACTATAACGGTTCAAAAACGGAAGAACGGATCCGACGGAAAAAAAATTCGGACCGCCCCTTGAAAAGCATTGGTCGATCGGTGTGCTGTACTACAGTACATCCGAGTGATTTCAAAAAGCGAGCCCTATAGGCACGCTTAAAAATTAACATGAGTCGAGATAAGCGATGTTACTGTCAAAGATACGCACTTATCTGCTTCAGCTGTCTTTTTTAGTATCTCCCAGGAATTTTGCATTGTTCATGAGCTTTTTTTTTACGTCAAAGATGTTTTTCAGAAAAACTCAATTTCTCAACAAGCGAAACAGTGCAGGCTCAGGTATTTCTAATGCACTGCTTCATGCTGTCGTCTGCTATTCCTATTCCAATTTTGCCTCATTTGCAGATTAGAGTACAAGCTGGGCTGAAGATATGTGACTCTCTTGTCCCCTTTTTACTATTGTTCCGAGCGCATTCGATTTTTGGTTTTAGGTTCGACCTATGCGATTTCAGTTCGACCCAGGCGGTTCGCGTCTGATTTAAACAAGATCGCAAATAAAACTAAATATTTGGCCAACGTTACCCATAGAAAATCTATCCAAAAATACTAACCTCACGTTCAGATTACTTCGTGTTCTATTTCCATATTAACACAAAATGCTGGCTACTTTTTCGCAAATTCTATGAACCCCAGTTCAGAATTTACCCAACTTGATTGTTCAGTGTAACTTAGTAGGATAAATTTTTAAAAACGGTGACTCTGAGACTTTTATATTATATTAATTTTTTATGAATTACTCCTCTTGTCTTCAATTTCGCTACATTTTTATATTCTTCCGAACATTGTAACACTGGAAAAAAGTAACTCCGATCTTGAGTCCAGACTCTTAAAAAATTTGATAAGAAAAAAATACTCTTGATTCAATCCGATGTTTGCTTGAATCGAGAGCCGGGAATCCTAATTTAAGCGGATTTCCTTTTGATTCGAGCTAAAATCCGATGGAATCAAAAGTGCTTTTTCTTGTCAATTCTTTTAAGAGTCCAGACTCAAGATGTAAGAGACTTTCTTTTCCAGAGAATAGTAGGGAAAAATAATAAGAATAGCAACACGCCATCGCCGTATTTTTCCGCTTTCGCAGAAACTAGTTATCGAATCGCTCGATTCTAATCCCAAGGACGAAATACCGGGCGCAAATCGTGACGTCACGCTCACGCATCGTCCCCCCAACTCGGGCCGACCGAAAAGGGATTCGAGGAAAAGCACCCGAGCTGAAAGATGATCCCATCCGCCGGGATTGAAGAGGGGCCTTTGATTGAGTTAAATGCGTGCTCCGTAAGTTGTCACATCATATCAAATCATAAAGGGACTTTCAATTCACATTTGGAAAATACATCGGAACCCCTGTCTAACTCGGCAGCGTTACCGGTCGTGGTTCTCCCGTGTTTACCTCAAAGCTCCACCGGCAAATTCTCGCTCAGGTCACCGCCTTGCCAAGTTTTCAGGAAATGCGAAATTACACCGGTCGACAAATTTGTATTTTTGTAGATTCACCCTCCGTGGGTTTTTCCGGGCTGTTTCCGGGTAGATTTTTAGCACTGATCCCGAAAATGATTCTCGTTCGCTGGATCAGGTCGAATCCAGTCGGAAAAATTCGAAATTTTGGCCGGCCAGGCTGGCCTAGTGGTCAGTGCGTCTGACTCTAGGTCAATAGGTCCTGGGTTCGAATCCCGGTGGTGGCGTCTAATTTTTACGGAATTGACGAAGAGATCTGCTGAAACAGATAATCCTCGGCCATAATCCCTGAATATTGGAAAAACCTGGAGCATGGAGCTCCCATGATGTCCACGGACACTAAATTACATTGTCTAAACTTGGCTGAGGGTGCTATACACGTAGCCCATTAAACCGGAAGGGGGGGAGGGGGAAGTCGAAATTTTCCCTAAAAAGGTGAGCTTTCTGGAGGAAAAGCAATTTGCCGAAAATTCTCCGCTCCACTTCTAGGGATAATTGCGATTTTCTGGGGAGATAAATCGTTCTAACGCAGAAAAACGGAGTTCATTTTAGGAACCAGCGCTGAAAATCTACGCAGATTTCGCTATTACTCTGCAGGCTAATTTACCCGTAATGACTGGGGTGATCCAACATTTTCGTTACCTTATTATTTTTTCATTATTATTTCCTTTTATTATTTTATTATCTTACTTATTTTCTCTGTCACTTCTTTCCCTTATTATTTTCTCTGCCGAAGAGACATCGACAGAGACGACTATACGGTAAATTTTGTTTGCAGCCTCGCTCTCGGCGATGATGACTGGGGCAGCAATGGGATGGCCCTCGCCGGTACTGGAGCACTTCTGTGAAGGCGCCCACTGCGAGGTGAGGATGACGGCGGGCGAGGCCTCCTGGGTGCTCTCCCTCATCGAGATCGGGAACCTCTTCTCGCCGATCCCTTGCGGTTACCTCGTGGACATGTACGGGCGGCAGCCGTGTCTCTTCGCCACCGGGCCGCTCTTCCTCGGCTCTTGGACCCTCATCATCTGCTCCCGCTCGGTGGGCTACCTCTACCTGGCGCGGCTCGTCCAGGGCCTCGGCATGGGCATCGTCTACACGGTCACCCCCATGTACATCTCGGAGATCGCCGGCGCCGACGTCCGCGGCCGCCTCAGCATCCTCTTCGTCGGCCTCCTCAACTTGGGCATCCTCCTCGAGTACATCGTCGGCCCCTTCGTCAGCTACCGGACGCTCGGCTACATCTCCATCTCCGTGCCCATCCTCTTCATCGCCACCTCCATCTGGCTCCCCGAGTCCCCGTACTTCCTCCTCATGAACGACAAGTCCAAGGAGGCCATCAACGCCCTGATGTGGCTCCGCTCCGACTACTCCAAGGACAGGATCTTCGAGGAGCTGACCCTCATCAAAGACGAGGTCGAGCAGGAGAAAGGCACGAAAACGGCCGCCAAGAACACCTTCGGGGACATATTTTCATCGGCGGCCAACCGGAAGGCGTTCTTGATCGTCCAGATCGCCGCCTGCGCTGACGTGCTCTCCGGCATGACGGCGATCCTGGCCTACGCCTCGGTCATCTTCGCGGCGCCGCACAACACGACGATGGAGGCGGAGGACTACCCGATCATGTTGGGGCTCATCATGCTCCTGGCCATCTTCCCTGCCGCCTACCTGGTGGACATGGCCGGTCGGAGGCCGCTCCTCATATTCTCGTGCCTCTTCTCTGGGCTTTTCGAACTCGTGGCTGCCTTCTACTTCTACGCGGCCATGAAGCTGGACTGCGACGTGGCTCGCCTCAAGTGGATTCCACTCTTGGCCATCTGCGCTTTCTCTGTGGCCTACTCGATGGGTCTGGGCTCGCTGGTGCCCACGCTCATGGGCGAGTGCTTCCCCTCTCAAATCCGCGGTCCTGCCAGCTCCATGACGTCCATCACGCTCTGCGCCATCTCCTTCCTCGTCATCAAGTTCTTCCAGGTGGTCAACGAGGAGATCGGCTTGTATTTTAACTTCTTCATCTACGGCGTGAGCAGTATCGCGTGCTCGGCCGTCTTGTGGCTTGTCCTTCCTGAAACGAAGGGCAAGACCCTGAGCGAGATCCAGCAGGACCTGAAAGCCTCTTGCAAGCCCAGTAAACCTAGTTTGCCGCTTTATGTAAACGCCTCAGTGCCCAAAGGTGTCGAGGCTTCGTAAGCTACCCTGGAGGGCAGTGGCGACTTTTCAAAGTACTGGATTTCCTCCATTTAAATCAACTATCAACAACACAATCGAGGTTAAACTATGTGCCTCGGTACAAAGCGATCGCTTTATTTGCATTTCAGTATAAAAACCCAGTTTTGACAATTTAAAAGAATCGCCACTGCTAGAGGGTGCTTTGGTCAATAGTCATGATGACATTCGGGTCCGCCCTCGAGTATGAAGCAACCCCGAAATTACTCATGGCTGGAACCTTGTTCGGATCTGGCAAGTGCCTCAAAGGTGGGTTCCCCTGACAAATAACAATGCTTCCCAAGTAACCTTGGACTGCATCACGTATGGTTAAATTGGATGCGCTGGAGCGGATCAAAAAGTTCCAAGCGCGGCGCAGCTATGGCCATGCTTGACCATAGTGTGGGTTATTTGTATTGGTAAATATACATTGCCATGGCGCAACTGTATAACTAATTTTATGTATAACGTATGTATTGTTTCCGATAAAAAGAGGAAATTTTGGAGTTCTAAGAACGAAAAATACTGCAAACGCGTGGAAGCATGGAATACTATTACAGTGTCCTTGTTTGCAAGGCATCGTTGTTGCAATAATCAAGCTCTCTTTCAGAATGTAGAGAATATTAGAGTAATTAAAGATAAGTCGCGAATAAAATCGCTGAATCTAGTCAAAAAGATGTGTATGACTGAGTCTCGCAAATGTTATCAGTAAGCTTATTCTGTTTTAACCTCCTTTTGAAGCATTGTCGTGAGTTGGAACTAGGAGTTCTATCTATATAAAAATTCCACTTAAGAAGGAGGAGAGGAGAAAACTATTTTTTTCCTGACAAATTTTCTTTTGTTTTTCATTTTTGAGCGAAATTTATGAAATGTCCATTTTTTTAAAACTATTTGTCTCCATTATAACAAAATATACCGAGCTCTCCTGTAATGTAATTTTCTTCCTATTAATTTATGTAGGTAACTGAATTGCTATGTGAATCGGCAATGCGAATCACTTTAGTATATCCGAACAATATTGAAACCGAATGCTTTAATATCAGTTCGTCTAACAGCAGTATCAGCGTATTGACTTACTATTATATATTCACAAAAAATTCAGGTATCAGACAAAAAGTTATTATTATACGTAATGACCGCTTAAAACTAATCCTAGCATCTTATGACGTCCATGTTCAGCAAAACATATTTTTAAAACGTCATTGAAAGCATGCTCGTACACATGCAACCTGTGAATTCATATTAGGAGAAGTGGCGAGGCATGATAATCGACTATCTATATCTCCCCAATTTGAAGCTATAGGAATGAATCTATTGTAACTGTGTTCGCAAACTGTGTTCGTTGCGAACACCCTTTCTATCGATCCTTTTCCGTAGGTTTAAATGGCAGATCAATCGATATATCGCAAAGCACGCCTCGCCTCTGATCATGAGGATGATTATCCTCGGAGCGTTTTCTTCTCAGAAATTTCCAGCGTGGAACCGGTCAAAAGCACCGCAAGAATCTCACTATCCTAATCAGCAATACTTGTCCCGTTCAACACGACCCCAAGGTGTAAAAGTCTTATAGTTAATGTAATATCGATTATAGTTTACAGTTGTCTTATCATTTTTGAAACAAATGCAAGGGTGTCTTTTATAGGACCTAATTTTTTGCACAAGTAAAGTATCATATTTCTCGCAAGTGATCGGATAATAAATGCCGTCTTATCTAACGATCAATCATTAGGGGAATTCTTTCTAGCTTTCGGGTAAGGCTCTCTTTTCGATGGCAAATAATTATCGCTGAATTCAATTAATTTTTTACTGATGATAAGTTTAGAAAAATGTTTTCTCTCTGCATCCGATACAATTTTACCAATATACTTAGAATTTCGAGTAATTTTGGAATTTAGAGTTTGACACATAAATTTGACAAAATATGAATGAGTCCTTTCTTTCCAGCTTAGTTAGTTGTGTGTGATGACTTTGCAAACCCACGGCCGTAGTTCCTCTTTTCTTATGCGCATCAGTTTGAATGACGTTTGTGAATGGGAAATGAATTTAAAAGACAATGTATGGAAAATGTCGCATCATCAACATTTTAAAGATTTTTGCCGTCGTAGTCGATTATTTTGTACCTTATTACGCTGCAGGTACTGAAATTGTTACTCATAGCAGCAGAAACAGTTTCTAGAGATTGTCTTCTTCCAGTTAATATCTTGTACTTTTTTAGTCGTGTAAATTCGGTTATTTTTATCAATTTGAACTAATGTTTATTCTTTACTTTTGAATTGTTTTTCTTATTTCGTATTACTTTCATTTTTTTCAATTAGTTATTTTTAACACAACTTCTCGTGCTCTATTGTTCTAATTGATTACCGTGCTTTCAATCCTTGAATTTCTTAAAATTTTACGACATTGCTCATGAGTTTTATGATCTCAAGCACAATTTATTTAATTAAAATTTTTCAAACTCTTCATATTTCAAACTAAGTGAAGTGGCGACGCACGACTATTTCAAAGCTCATTCACTCATTTTTGTCCAGTAACCGCTTCAGATCATCTACTCTGTTTAGTTCCTGTCAAGACTATCGTAAGATAAGCCATTGAAGATGCGTTTCTTAGGATTCAGTCGTGTAGATTCAACGTCCTAAGTCATGCCACAAAGGCACTTGAGACAATTTCAACGAAAATTAGGTTAACGCACGTGGTGAATGTATTTTTTCGACACTGAACTAAAGAGAACATCTTGTTAATAATTTCAGCTTCAAGACAAAAATCCTTGTGAAAATTGTTAGTTTTGTAAAAAGTTAGTTTGTAAGTACATTTTTTTACTTTAAATAAAACTTTGCATGTAAATAATTTATATTTACTGGATATTCCTCCTTAAGAGATTAATAATTTTTAGAGCATTAGGAATTTTTCTGATCGCACACACCCAGAGATGAACGAGGGAAAAAATAATAAACCTTCAATTTGCAAATGTTTTGATTGAATGTTCATCACTATTCTGGCACCTTTAGTGTGTCGAGACAACGAAAAGAAGGCTGCAAGTACCAGAAAGCTTCCCTCTAATTCAGGGTCACGCACAGAGTCTCGTTACGGGAACGCTGCACAAAATTATATTAAGTTATTTAGCAGGGACAGTGATTTAGTAGGCAGGTTAAGTTATTTGCTGAGATTCATGAACGCTAGTTTAAAAATAAACGCTCAAGGTACCAGCGACTCTAAAACGGAGGCCTGTTTTTTTCCAGCAGCAGTGCAGTGTATTTTGATTTGTTTTCAAAATTTATTTATGGGGTCGTTAAAGCACGCCGTCAGAGATTTTCAAGCAGGAGCAACATTTGCAAAAAATTTAACTCTCATCATACTCTTGTTTTAGGTTGTTAAATTTTCTTCTCTCCCTCTATCTCTCGCCTCAAATCCCTAGTCGTCTTCATTCCCCTTACTTCTTGTTCTCTTTCTTTCTTTCTTTCTTTCTTTCTTTCTTTCTTTCTTTCTTTCTTTCTTTCTCATTCTTCCCTTTCCTTAAACTGTATCTTCATAAGGAAATATTATCTCTTTTTATAGTTTACACGAGATTAGTTGACCCGCTACTCGTGTGCAACAGGAGTCCCGCTCTGTCGCGCTAAGGGAAAACTCCGTATGAACATTCGCTTGTTGCCAAAACTCCCCTGATTAAAAAGGTATTTTGGAGCTAAGTTATTCCTATTTTTCCTTTAAATTTGCTAATATTTTATATCGAATTGCGAACATAAGTTTCTGAAAAATTGGAAGAAAAATATGTCTAACTTTCCCTGTAAATTCCTGTTTAATCAAAAGAAATTTGGCAACGCCTGAAGGTTCATTCGGCGTTTTTCCTTAGCATATCAGTACTGCTTTCACTCTCGAATTGATACTGAATGCAAGAATGATTGCGAATCCTGCATCTAATTCTAAAAATCGACCAATTTTTTTCCAACGCCCTTAGTGTCAGTTAAGGCCTCGTAAGGGGCCTCTCATAGGCCACTGAACTGGTATGATAGCCAGGGTCTCTGTCTCCTGGGCAGGGGAGCCTTAGGTCAAAAAAGTCCAAATAAATACAGCATTAACTGAGCTTTTACTGGCTAAAAATTAGAGAAAATAACCCTTAAGTATACCAATAAAATTAATAGTCATAAAAAATATACCTATAGTTTTAAAAGAAAAGAAAAAGCAGAAAAGGGACTAGTATTTCACATAATAAAGACTATTATACAATGTCTAAAATTCCAATGGATATGTTTTAATGATCTCTTTCCCCCCTGGCAACGCTCTTGCCTCCCACCTAACCGGCTGTCATTTTCACACTTTTATCGGTGCGGTGCGGCCTTTCCAACTCTTTGCGGCTTTAACAAAATGTCCACTTCGATCAAAAGCTTAGTTTACTGCGAGATCGCTCGCAAACTGAACGTCAGAGTTAAAAACTTTGGACTTATTATGTATTTAGGTTTAGTGTTCTCGTGATGTGCGAAGAAAGCACCGCAACCCCCAAACGAGGAACAGCAAGTCTTGCAGCGATGGTGGTTTCAGGGTGAAAGTTGGAGGAGAGGGGGGTTCTGACCGTATTAGGGGTCGCAAGGAGTTTGTTCAAGATATCTGGTATCTCGCACCCTCCATCGGTCTAATGTGCAAACACTGTCCGGTGTCATGTTGTTAATCCCGGCAGTCCCTTGCGTACGCCGCGCCGCGCCGCCTCTTGAACGTACAACGAATGGAGGCCCCCCCCCCTCCTCCTCCTCACCACTCATCAGCCGCCCCTCATTCAAGAACCGCCTAACCTCAATACTGACCGTAAGTTCATTCGCGATTTTTACTTATCGCGCGACAGAGTTGGCTTGACAATGTCGGCGCACGCACACCCAAACGCAAACAAGGGACACTTCAGGACTTATTATTTGTTGCTGGTGGGCAACGGAGGGATTTTATGTAAAAGCGTTGCCGTATTTTATTTTTTATAAAATATTGACAAATCAAAATAGTCAAAGATTTGGTCCTTAAATGGACCGCGTTAAACAGAAAGGAACCAAGCCACATCAGCTGTCCGTCCACCAGTGCACTGTTGAGGGAAGAATTAACTGCTTGGATTAAGGGAAATTCACCTGCTTACTACTGTCCTAATTCAAAGAGCAGTACCCATGTCTTTTCGTAAGGTCGTTAACTGCACAATATAACTTTGTGTCTTTCAATAACTGAGATACGTTTCCCATAAAAGCCAAAATTGAAAAATTCACGCTGATGATTCTTTACGGATAAAGTCACGATCTCTCAACAAGACTTAACGTATAAAACATGCATGCATAATACGCAAATTTAGCATTCTGCTTTAAGTTTGGAATCCTACTGTCTCTTTGCAAAGCAGTATATCGCGACAGTAAAATATGATGCAACAAAATAATCCAACTCACAAAAGTTTACCATAGCAACTTTCGTCGTCGTGCGTAAAATTTTGCTCGCCGTGATAAGTCGCTTCCTCGATGCGATTAAAATATTTCTCCCTACAGTCAAAAACTACCAAGAGAACGGCCTTATCACTGAGGACATTTTCTTGATATTTTATTTTGACATGAAGCGTAGTTTCTTGTCGACAAAATTTGTTTTTTGTTTCCTAAAAAAGCGCCGTTTTGATATCGTTAAAGTTAAAAAACGATGGCTAAACAATGTTTTTTTTTTTAACTAAAAAAACTGACTTTAACATAAATTCGCACGGATTTAACTCCAAAACACCAAATTTTGTCGACACGAAACGACGTATAAGTCAAAATATTATCTCAAGAAAAATTGTTTCAGTGATTGTTATAATAATAAATTAAATTCTCGCAATGCAAAAACTGGTCGGATCTTTATTCTGTTATTCCAAAAATAGCAGAATTGATTCTGCTCTTTCGTAAAATTCGGATTTCCTCAGACTGGGAGCATATTTTAAGGATCTATAAACTCATCTAGGAATAGTCCGCTCAGTGGGCCGAATAATCTGGATCACCAACAGTGTTTATTTTCTTTTTCTCCATCGTCTTGCCGCTCTATCTTCGCTGAATTCTTAGTTTTAATACATGTACATCCCTAAAATTTTCGGGAGTTTTTTTTCCCAATTGATCAAACAATGGGTGTAATTCCGTTTCAGAGTCGCTCGCGGCATTGTCATCCGGCCAGTCTGGAGTCTCGCATAAATAGCATGTATCCTTCAACTAGCAGTTCTCACAACACTTACTACTACCATGCGCGCGTATTGCCTACTATTCGGGAGTGTTAACATGCAGTTGAAATCCATTGAACTATGCAACCGTAGAATTCTCATATACTTTCTCGACCAAAATTTTGTCTCCAGTTGTGCCTCATCGATACAATCGTATCGCTCCATCGTGCATGATTGCAGTACACTGGAAAAAAAACACATTGGATCTGGAGTTCAGACTCTGAAAAACATCGACAAGAAAAAGTACTCTTGATTCGATCAGAATCTAGCTTAAATCAAGAACCAAGCCTCTTAATTTAAGCGGATTTCGTTTTGATTCAAGCAAAAATCCGATTGAATCTAGAGTATTTTTTCTTGTCGCAATGTTTTCAAGAGTCTGGACTCTAGATCCAATGTGTTTTTTTCCAGTGTACCAGAAAAATTATAACTTAAAGTTCGGCCATATTTACGAACAGGTCTTTTTTACAATTCTTCTCAACAAATCTATGCGTATTGATTAAAATTCGAAAAAAAAAACACGAACGCACGTAAACGCGAGAAGTTAAAAAAAGAAGAAAGAAACAGTTCAAAGAGGAGGAAAAATTATGTGCTCTCCGATGATGACGAAATAGGCGTAAGTGCAAATAAACTCTAAGTGGCCCCGCATAGTTCAAAGAGTTCGAGTGTTGAATTAATTTTTCCCGCTTGAATTAATTCTCTCTGTTCCTCCTCTTTCCCGCTCGGTATTTGCAGGCTGCCGACAATGTAAATTAAAAACCTTTTTTCTTCCGGTTTTAATATATTATTTCCTCTCTTTTTCGCTTGTCTTCGTATTGGCTGCTGGGATAAAGCAACTCTTGGGTTTTTCATCATCAGATGCTCCCAAGAGAGCAAAGGGATTTCTCTATAAGCCCTCTCCAAGGACGGTGGTCAGTTGGTCACTACTTGTCTGTTTACGTCGTTACGAGGAGTGAAGTTTTGGAGTCTCTCGTTGACCATTGACTTTTTTAAATACCAGGTTTTTTTGCCTTCTTTCCTTTCCCGTACTAGCAACACAGAGTATAGTCAGATGATCACTGGGCTTATTTTTTTAACTTCAGGACTGTTACATTCGATTTTGTCGGATTTTTAATATAGTATCAATGCCTCTGATGACATTATATTTTTACATAAGATATTTAACGTTTATCGTCCTAACGTTTCACATGCACGCTTTACCGCGAAAAATCACTATCACGTGCGAACAATCCAAAAGCATACAGCGACAGAATTATTCAACTTTTCGTCACCCGCACCGATACTTTGAAGTTAACAGTAATATTTCTCTCAGATGTTTTAATAAAATAAGTACGTGTTAGTAAAACTCGTGTTTGGAGTTTGTTTAAAAGTAAGCATTCCTTTCATCATTTTTCAAAACGACGCGATGTACAAGTTTTTTACCGCTGCGCTCAGATGTTGCAGTTTGGAGTCACTCGCGAATGATCAATTTGATAAGCCGACTGGAACTTCTCTTCTTCAAAATCTTGCCGTATTTTTACTTTGCTCTTTATAAAAATCATTAGCCTGTGTACTTTACCGGTGTCCTACAAATTAATCCAACCGTTGCACAATCTGAGAAGCTTTCAAAACTCATGCCTTTTCTATACGAATAATAACTCAACCTCTATAC